GGCTTATTGCCGATGTCCCCAGGCGGCCGTTCGCCCACGCCTGCAGCGGTTAATTCTTCGTCGTCCTGTTCTAAATCAACCCACGTGATAACGAGACGACAACAGTTTGGGCTAAAAAATGTTTATTGGACAGTCTGAATAAAACGGGACCCTACTGTACAATAAACCAAAAACTGGGAGTGGAGGGTGGGTCGAGCTTACGTCTCCACTCCGGATATCAAGACAACTGACACGAAATCGAGAACATTAACTGATATACTGAAATCTCTCACTGGTTAATTAACTATCATTAACTAGTTAATGATTTCTACATTATCATCCCGTTCATCCTCGTAAACGGGTTCCACCAAAGGAGCGACTGTTTCTTTAAGGTCTCTCAACTCAGTCAACACTGACTTGAACATTTCAACGAGAGTTTGTTCCTTTGAGCTGCCAGTCAAGCCCACGCTCGTATCATCATTCTTGTCGGTCGCCGCCATTTCTATGAAGCTTGTCGGTGGATCAGTTTTGCTTGTCCAACTGCGTTGGAACGCTAGCTTTCGTTTCAATAACTACCAACTACGTTGGTGTTATGTTATTTCTGTTACGGCCCAGTAGTTTTTCCGACTGCGTTGGAAATAGGCAGAGCTTTTGTAAAATTTATCGGGCGATCGTCGATCTTCGATGTTTTTCGCGCTTCAACGCACGCGCAATGACTCGCGCGTGCGCCGTGCTATCTCATGCGATCTCCTAGCCCCCGGTCATGTGATGGAATCGGGGACGGAGACCGTAGGTCTTGGGATACGCGCACCTATGATATGTGACAACTTTTCAATTTTTAGAACAAATTGCGCCATCCTGACGTCATATATCCGCGCGGATCCACGCACATGTCGGAGGCTCTCGCGTGGATGTTGTTACGTTGCGTCATCAAATGGTGAGAGTTGCGAGATTCTCTTGCAGATTTTTCACAGCGATGGCAGGGAATAAGGCAGGAAATAAGACCCAGGGTTCTTGTATGTAGTTTTATGCTCTAAGCTAATGGAAAAGGTGATTTTTTTCAGGGTCGAAAACATGACTTCGATTTCGCGCTGTGAATGAATGCTCGCGCTAGTTGTACGCGTAAGCATTTGCGCTTGTTCTATAGAGAAAAGTTATGTAAGAAAACTCTTTACTCTGGTATCGAGTTAATTTGTGAGTTTCCCAAACAATGCTCAATCATAACAAAACCCTGTTTTGATAGTTTCTTATTGTTTCTGTTTGTTTGGCGAGTTTGCAAAAGTTTTTGGAAGGAAGTCTGACTGGTACAAGTAGCTCATTTGCAGAGTGCAGCGCGTGCACTTTCAAGTCCGAGTCGGTGTTTTCAACTGTCAACAAATCTTGACAAAAATTTCTTCCGCTGTCTTTTGTACCGAGATGCTGCAACAATTTCCGTCAACGCCAAAAGGCAACCAACATCATGAGTGTTTCTTCAACATAGTGAAATTTTACACTGCGAAAGTAAAATAGACAAGGAGTTTTGATAACTCAACCAACAAATCGAAATCTTTATTCGAGTACCGTGACTATTCGAGTTGATTAAAGAAAGCTGATTATTTCTGCTGTATTCGCATATTTTCAGCTAAGCTTTTAATATATTCTCAAACATTTATCAACCTTAAACATATTTAAAAACTAGAGATACATGAGTTCGATGTACTTTTCCACTCGAAAGTGGAGAAGTCCAATTTGTAATGTTTTACTGACTGTACAAAATACGCATCGGCGGGCGCTCTTATTCATCGACAACAGTCAATTTACTGGATTTTTACACAAACAAAACTGAGCAGCATCTACAGACATAAACTTTATTGTCGCTTATTGGGCGTTGATAAGACATCAAGCGTTGCTTACAATTCAGGCGAAACTCAAACTTGCAATTATTTTCTTTTTTACTGTTCGGTCGAGGTAGACTCTGGCGAAATCCTCGCAAGCGTGTGGTAAGAGGAGTGAAACTTTAAAGTCCTGAAACGCTACTATATCCAAACATATCCAACTAGTGCTTTGCTGTGTTTTGGAAAAGCTGTTAATCTTCAACATATGTGAAACTTAGAGTGGAGTAATGTGGAGCCCTTGTAAAAGAACCTGCGGAACACAACTTGGTCAGTGATATAAAGCGGAACATAACTAATTTTGACACTGTCTTACTTCACTCAAACTGGAGCAGCTTACGACGAAAACACTGACGCAAAATTCCAACAGACATGAAAGTATTAAGTTGTGGGCCAAAAGCATCAAACATTTCGGGAATTTCGGACGCCATTTCCCCGCGCTACATCCGCAAAAATCCTCGCAGCTTGTACGCGCGTGTGCCGCACGGGATAATGCAATTTGTTCTAAAAATGGAAAAATTGTCCCATATCATAGGGACAACCCCAATACTAGAAATGGCGCGCGCTTACGGTCTTCCTCTCCGATTATGGCTCCTGATGGTTGTTAAGTCTTGAAATACTTCTCTCTCAAGAGATATAAAAATTTGGTTGCGTTTTTCAGTGGGCGCTTTGAAAAACGCCTCCAAAATCTGAGAATTTTCGCTGAAATTCCAACTAATTTGCATATTGCCTTGCGAAAAAAAACACTGACACGGCCTGTCAGCCTGTCAGCCTGTCGATTGGGCGATGGGAATCGAAACATTTTAGCGATTGCCTTAGTTTGTGAACGGGTTTATCGAAATATGTCTATAAGCTCGTTTGCACTATCATGAGACACTATTTTAGTGCTACCCTCTTTAAATAAAGTCTTTATTTACTTACTTACTTACTTACTTACTTACTTACTTACTTACTTACTTACTTACTTACTTACTTACTTACTTACTTACATGGGTGCACTTTTATGCTATAAAAGTAATATACAGACTTAGGCCAGCCTAAAAGCGTAGCTCCTGGGGAAGGTTATTCAGAGCCTGATTAAGCTATCCCAGGAAAAGGTAGAATTTTGATTTGAGTTTTATAGGCTTTGTGATGAGGTTTTCTGTATATTGTTTGGTCTTTTGTTTTGATTTTTAATAATCGCCATATACACAAAACAAAGCAGTAAAAATTATTTGTATAGAAGAAAAAGTTATGATTCGGTTAACTTTTAATCCTAGGTTAGCGTTAAGTTGCGAGCCTTCACTCATTGCAGTCATTTTAATTTTTCGCTATTATTATTTTTTTGTTTTGTTTTGTTTTTTTTTGTAATGTTTTTGTTTTTGTTTGTTGTTGGTATATTCCGAGCTGATATCAGTTTCTTTTCCATGTTCTTGGTTTTATCGACGGCCGAATGAATTTAAATGTATCTGAATTTTTTAAATGACTTGATTGCAAAAATGCTATTTGAAAATCAGGTACAGGTTATGTTTTCGTTTTGCCGTCAGTTTCCACCTTATTACGGCGCTTAAGTGTGTCACTTTGTTCATGGCTTGAGGCTTCTAATTCGACCTGAAACGATTTCGTTTTCAACGAAACTCCTAAGCTTGATTAAACAAGTGAAAGTTAGAATTGCAGTGAGCTTACGCTTGAACCATGAACTCTTTACATTTTTCTCTTTTGTGTGCTTTTATACCTCTTGTTTATGTAATAAGCGCTCTTCCTCATGAGCAAAGGAAGGGTTTTTACAATATGGTCTTGTTTTATAACGTAGCCACGGAAACACGTGCACCTTACAGAAATATCGAGAGCATCTATCCTTATACAAGCATTAATTAATGTAACATTTCTTATTTTTTTCACAGTTACGGCTGAAAAATGCATCGCACAAAGAATCGAGTTTTCCTTGTCGTTGCCTTCCTCTACACCATTGTTTGCAGCTATGTGCAATGTGGTAAGTCTGAGAGTGCTCTGTTCAAAGGGATAGGACACCGTTCAACAACAAGAAAATTTGTACCCAAAGTTTATAAAAAATATAGTAAGCTTGAACTTTGCTAAATGTGACGGGCTTTATTTTCTTTCCAAGTTGGGAAGTCTGGTTTGACCAGGAAAGCTTTTAGACGAGCAATCATAACGAGGAACTGACAATAGCGAAAATCTCATCTGACTCGATATCAACAACTGGAGCAATACTATTCCTTTATCGGCCTTTCAGAAACTACATTTGTGGTAGTTTCGACAGACAGTATGAAACAAAATTAGCAACACATCTGAAATGACTTAGTTTTCTCTCACTTTCCCTTTTTAGGTTATGTTTCTTTGGGATGCTTTAAGGATACTGGAAATCGTGCAATTCCACCACTGGAAGGAAAGGATCAGATCTTGGACAAACATTACTGGCATCGAGAGAACCCCATTGCCAAATGCGCCGTGGCTGCAATGAAAAGGGGATACAAGATGTTTGCAGTTCAGAATGGTGGCTGGTGTGCCGCTAGCAAGATTGCGCCAAAGACCTTCGACAAGTACGGAAAATCTTCAGCTTGTAAGAGTGACGGTGAAGGAGGACCATGGGCCAATCACGTTTACTTGACCAAAGGTACAGTATGACTGGTGTCATTAAGCACATCATATAACTGCCATTAATAGCACTGAGCTCGATCCAAATAGATTCTCGTTTTTTGCTACATGTCCAGAAATGCGTGCAGTAAAGGAATTGGCCAATAGACCATTTTACAGTTGTCTGCTCAGTGACCTGGCCGTTGTATGGCAGCGAGGCTAGAGTTGACCTTGTTTTGATACAGACCTCACTGCTTTTGTCATGTAAATGCACCTAGTTAGCATCAGAACAACTTTTTTTA